TTTTGGTGATGTGAGCAAAACTCTACTAACACTTAGTACCAATAATAAATTACTTTCTTGAGCTGTCTGGTTGTTTCTCAGATATGAATTAAAGAAACAAGGTCTAACACTTTCCCCCAATTACTTTTGAGCTAGTAATTAATTCCGTATGAGAACTGCGTGGTGGATTGGGGTAAATAAAGTGCTAATAAAAACAACTCTAATTTCCTGGCCAGTCACAGTTTTCATCCCGTTATGCACCAGCGGTCATTCCAGAGGTCATTACCAGAACTGCAGCCATGTCCCCTGAGGCTTTGGTCCTGACACATCTTTCAAAAGAAGCAGGACAATGGATCTAGACAAGCGAATCAGTTACACAAAACAAAGTACAGCTTCATAAGGATCACAACCTGTGGGTCTTCTTGTAGATTAATGCCATGTTTTTTACCGTGTACCATGGAAAAAGACATGGATATGGCATTTCCAGTGAGGTAATAAATAATTCCTACAGTTTCTTATTTTGGGAATGTTTCTGACTAAATGCTGAGCTTGATTAAAATGCAAGTCCTGCTGCATCCCACATTAAAATTATCTTAAACATTCTCATTGCCTTAATGAAGTTGAAATCAAGCCTGTAGATTGGCACCTCAAAGGAAAATGTGGGCACTACAATAAAATGATGTGGGTGAACCAGTAGGTGTCAGATTGCTGAGTCCATAATGAATAATTATCTCAGCATAATTATGTGTGCTGTATTTCAGACAAGATGTAAAAACTGAGGTCCTTTTGTCTCCTGGTAATTAAAAACACATCTCTGATATGATTTCACAGTACAAAAGAGTCTCTCTGTTAGAGTACATGGTCTGCCAGTGGTATCCAAGGTTGGATAAGGAACTATTAGCATTGGCTATCCTGTATAATTTTTACTTCCAGCAACTCAGATACTCATTTTTTTGCACTTTCAGTTTATGCACTTACTTTGTAGAATTAGATTGCATATCTTGATTTTATTCACAATGACCATACTTAAATTCCTATGTAATATAAGAGTAGGAAATAAATGTGTCATCATTGGAATTTCTTAGTAAAGCAAGCTAACAAACTTGGTTTTCAAGAAGTATTGCAAATTTAAGCATACTATATTCTCTTGAAGAAACGTTAAATGGGAAATATATGTATTTTTTTTTTTCCATAGAAATGCTTCTGATCTATTTTATTACAAAAATGGACATCTCATTTCAAGATGGCTTTCAATTTCTGTAAGTTATGGTAGATTTTTTGAAATTGCTCCTTGGCTTAGCCTTAGAGATATTATGGGAAATTGGATGTAGAATGCTAATTTCTCCTGCCCTATCCAACTTCTTCATTGTATCCTCTCGGATTTGCTAGGTGCCAACACAATTATTTAGAGTGGAAGAGTCACAAGAGATCAAACATCAAAGAGGTATAACTGTTACCACTTTTATACATCTACCCCAGAGAAAACAGTAAAATCTGGACTTCTGACCTGCGGCCCAGAGGCAAAATAGCCATTGTGCACAGAGGAAAGACACCTTTTGTGCAATTATTTAATAATCACAACAGTAATGGCTGATTGGCTCTACCCATAGTCTAGATCTGTGCTATCTCAAGGTGTGGATTTGAGATGAATATATATATTTCTATGGTAAAACTGAAGGAGAAAGGGATAGAAGTTATGAAACCCCTAAATTTGATATCAGTTGCAGAGTCTGAAGTTTGAGACAGAATCTATCTGATCTCTATGCCTTCATCCTTGAGACAAGAACAAACAGGAGAGGATCCCTTTAATCATTCAACATCTGGAAGATGAGTTAAGAAGAATGGCTTGGCAATTAAAATGGTAACTATGATTGAAATCCTAGAAAAAAAATAGCCTCATACTTAAATTCAGACAACAAAATCACACAAGACTCAAAGCATGGTGCATTTGCTTTGTAACACTAATTAATGAGGTTGTTTAAGCAAAACAAATGATTTCTCTTGGCTGAAGCTTGACTGATGGTAAATCCAATTTTGTGCTTATCAAGGCCTTCAAATCCATCCATAGCCCTGCCTTTGGTTAAATGTTTTGATTAAGAAGGAAACTTGAGGCACCTGAACATCCAACAAATGTTTTGAACTGTTTGGACAATGCCAAAATATGTATATTCAGGTTCTGATCCCACTACCATGGTGTAAATACTGAAAAATGAAATAAAAAGTTATGACTTTATTATATTTCAGTGCATCTTCTGGGCTAGTAGAAGTGTTGAATCAGGTCTGGCAGCAGGTGCAGTTTGCTCCTGGGGCTCAGGTGTACCCTGCACTGATTGAGTTGCCAGACCTAGGCTTGCCATCAGACATCATTAAAATAAAGGGATGTGTCATGTGCTCAGAGAGCCATGGAATGAGGCAGTTCTCAAGCAGGAGGCAGAGGTGTTTTTTTCTCTTGAGTTTGCCAAGTGCATTTACACATGGAGTTCTTGGCCGCCACTTGTGCAGACTTCCCTCGGAAACATTTTCCATCTGTCATACTCACATGAAAAAGAAACCCTGGAGATTCCACCCCCATTTCTGAAACGGAGCCTCTCTGTGTCTCTCTGAGCTTTCAGAGAGTCCTTTATTAAAGAGATAAGGAGGGGAGGAAAAAAAAGGCAGACAAGTACTTTCAAACTAGGAGCTGCGGCCAGCTGGATCACAAATGCCTAGGATGGCAAGGAGAAAGAGATTCAGTTTCACCTTGACTCCTTGTTTCATCCACCAGCAATTCTCCCTTTATCTGCAGCACTCTAAGCTCCAGCAGCTGTTCCATCCTGGCCTACTAAGAATTAAGAGTCTCCTTATCTGTGGAGGACAGTCAGACAAAGTACAGCCAGAAATTCTTGACGCTGCCTTCTACTATACTTAGAATTGCATGTAAAATGCCAGCCACCTTCTTTATAAAAGTAGCAGAAAATTCTCTTTTAATATGTGCCCTAACAACATCTTATCTTTTAATACTATTTCTGACACACTTTTACAGTAAAATGACTCAAAAAATAATCACTGAAAAAGTACTCTGGGAGTATCGACCATCCTAAGCCTAATCAGTAATGACTCAGGGGAAATATATAGGCCTATTAAGTCCTCTTTCTTCTGACTAGTAATTATTTAATAAATAAACCTCTGTCTTACCCAGTGGTTGTGATTTTCAGAAAACAAACTTTGTTACAAGACTTCGCAATCTGTAGAAGACCTCCACAGAAAGCACTGAAAATTGGGGCATTAGATGGCAAGAAAGCCAATTGGCTTAGGGTTGTTTTTTGTTTGTTTTTTTTTTTTTGAACAAAGAGGGTCTTTCTTTAGTAGAATTTCCTTGATGGAAATCCTTACTTCACATGCCATGTGAAAAGAAGCTGTACATTCAGAAAAATTGAATAGAAAGTCCTATTTAAAATTTTGGCTGCTGTTCCTATCATTGATGAGGAAAGTCTGAAATTTATATAGTATTTTAGTTATATTTTGGGGACGTTTAAAATTATCATTCAGAATATTAGGAATAAGTCTCTCTCTTATTTTTCTGAAGGTTTCTTTTGCTTCCCACATTCCATACAAGCCCCTGCCTTTTAAGGCACTGAAAACAATGGGTAAGCACATTTTCCATGTGGGTGCTGGGGCTGCCACACATGAGCTGAGCTTCTCCAGCTCTCCTGCGTGGCACTGCTTGGTGTGCCAGGCTGTGGAGGGGCTGACAAGGCTTCATGATGACTCACTACAACAGGAGGCACAGTAAGCTGGTGCACTGACAAAAATGCAGGTTTATTGAGGGTAAAGAAAACAAGTTATTTAGGGAGAAATGATCCATAACCACTTGCTATTAAAGCCTTTAAGAATTACTCGCACAAGAAGAAAGGAAATGCATAAGAAATTTAACTTTCTGGTTTGTTCTCAGAACAAGAGTGAGTCAGGCCAAAATTATCTTGGGATCCAAAGCACACAAGAGCTGAATATACTCTTCAGTAAGCCTCTTGAAGGTGTTTGTATGGAACTGAATGCCATCATTGATTCATTCTATGCTGGGGAAAAAAAGGAGGGGGTGGGGTACAAGGAGGCATCCATGTGAAAATTTCATTTTGTTTGAGCAGACAGAAGATAGGATACGAACTGGAAAAGTTCCTTCAAGAGCTTCCCCCTCATGTGTAAAAATGAATACATATCTGATGATATCATTGTTAATAAAAAACATACAAGCATGTATATTTGCAAGTACTCTCAACTTATCCAAACCACCCCTGTTTCAGAGCTCATCATGGTCTACTTCAGTGCATATCTTTTCAAGCATTTCTGTACAATTGTTGCTGCCCTCTGTTATCCAGCATCCGTGCTTCACCACAGAGGAGGCTGCAGTTCAGTTTTGGTTTGCAGGGACAAGGGAAAGAGCAGCACAAAATGGCAAAAAACAAGATGAATCTTGCAGTGCCCTCTGATCTCCGCAGGCTGCTGCTTGCCAGCAGTAACCCTGAGCAGAGAGCAGATGTGCACGCACAGCTATATATTGCCAGTCTCTCTCTTCTCCCCTGCAGCCATCTTTGTCTTGCCAGCTGTCCTAGCACCACAGGAAGATATTTCTTGTTCCTGGGCCTGCGGAAAGGAGGGGATAAGTGAAGGAAGAAGAGGCTGCTGCCAGGTTGTGGGGGCAGAGCCATTCTGCCAGACGATTGCCCTGCTGAGCCCAACCCATCTCTGGGGAAGCCCTTGGCCACAGATGAATGTGGGCAATTAGATGGGATGTGTCATCCTGAATGTGCCTGATGGTCGAATTGCTATGGCGCTTGCCTATATACTGTAACACAGCAAATAATAGAATCCTGCTGATCTCTCAGAACTCTGGGCAGAGCAGGTTGAGATCTGAAATTCATCTGTACATACAAGCATTTAGATATGTGAAAGGTTGATGCCATCTTGCTCTCAGTGCCAGAAGAATTTATTACGGTCACAGTGCTGTGGTTCATCATGTTTATATTCTAATATCCTGCTTTTAATGTCTAATAACATTCAGAAATGGTTTCCATCCAAAAGTAATTTTATTTGGAAAGTTTTAACAAATATGGCTCTGATTTCTTTTTTATTTCATTTTTATTTACTTTGAATTTAAGGAGGATAGGAAAATCAAATTGTTTTAAGTAAAAAAAAAAAAAAAAATCAGTTCTATGCTTTAGTCATGGTCTGATGAGAAAAGGATTAGAGTCATAGAGTCAGACTAAATCCACCTGTTTTATGTGGGGGCATGCACAGGGAGAGGCACCAGCAGCCTTCCATCAGAGCAGCTCTGACCTCTGTACATTACAACTTCATTTGTATACATAAACTGAGTCAGGACAAAAAGTATCTCTGCCAGGAAGAATAAAAGCTGTGAGGTCAGTATGAGAAAACAGAGGGGATGTGGGTGGAGAAAAAAAGCGTGATGTGCTGTAACTTGGGATGTTCTCTGAAAAAGATAGGAAGAGAGAACAGAAAGGTGAATTAATCATATATCTAATCCAAATGCATTACTATATTTTAGTTGTTTCTCATTCTTCTCACCATTTTTGGTAGTTAAGTTGCCTCTGGAAAGACCCTTGGTATCATTTCTCATTTTGCTATCAGTGTCCTTCTGTCAGCTCATGGCTAGTGCTTTTATGTGCCCTGACTAAACTCCTCGCAATGTTTCTCCATAGGCCACAGGGATGTTACTCAGGCACATGTTTCTTTAGGTTGCCAGCATCACCTGCACTGACAAATCCATCATGGAGCAGAGAAAGGCATTTTGTTTAACTGCTCATTCTTTTGCACGGTGCTTCTTGGAATGTGAATGCTTATTTTTTATTTTTTCTTACAGAAAACAGGGCAGATAACAATCTATGATGCTTTACAGCCTTTAGCGAGCACGGAAGAGGCTGTGTGAGACATTTCAGTGCTTTTTGCTAGGCTCTGTTGGTGCCATTTCCTGTTGGTGTGCTGGTTCCAACCCAGCACTGCAGATGCTGCTCAGCAATGTGACTGATCTCACCCTGCGCTGCGTAGTGCCTCCTGCTGCTGCTGACTCGACTTCAGTAATGGCTCATATTAAACTCCTTTTGTACATTTTCTCACTTGTATACATGGATTTCCCACTGGGTATGAGTGTTGTGTCATAGTTGGAGTGACATGATTTGTTCCTCAAACGTGTTTCTCTCTTCTCTTTCAGCTCCACGTAACCAGAGTCAGCCATGTGCTTTCTGACTTCTCTGACTTAACTTTTACTGACTCACTGTGGTCCCAGTGTCACATAAACCCTTCAGCTGCCACTCGCAACATCATATTTGGGGTGAGGAACCATGTTAATGACTTTGCCTTATTCTTGCACCCACAACCAGCGCATATTTTCTCTAGTTCCCTAGCAAATCACTTACGCACTGTAATTAACTGGGAGCCTATGAAGAGCAGCACCTTTGTGAAATGGGATATTTCTGACAGTAAATGTATCTAATTGTGAAGATCTACATTGCATCTCTGTCTCTGATGCAGAGAGAAGAAAATTAAGTTTTTTCTGTCTTTAGAACTTGTTATTTCCAGAGGCTTAATGAGACATTTCATTTCTTTTTTTTTCTTTTTTTTTTTTTTTTTTTTTTTTTTTTTTTGCCAATATTTCACAGTTTCAGCATACAAAATAATTATTTTTTTTTTCCCTGAAAGGAAAACTAGTGATCAAACAGCAGAAATGGGGACATATGGACACTCCAAATATTTGCAGTTGAGCACACGGGAAGAAAGAAGCAGCATCACCTAACAGACTTTTTGGATAGCTTTTTATCTGTGTATCTCCAGAGTGCCTTTTGTCTCCACTGCACACTTATACAGCCGGTTTTATGTCTTACTGCAAAAAGGAACTTGACCTTCTGAAATCCTGAAATGAAATGTAGGGCAAGAGGTAGCTGTACTGATTCTGACCTGGAGGCCACTGTAAATCAAGGGCTGAAGGCTCCACAGTACAGTTACCCTGAGCAGGCACAGACCCGTGCATGCTGCTCGCAGTGTGGCTCTTAGACCAGCACTGTGCTGCACTAACCTGGTGGCTGGAGGGCAAAACCAGGTGGCTGCTTGTAATGGAGGAGCTGCAGGCAGCTTCCACACAGTGCCAGCACTTACACCTCCTGCATGGCCTTGTCTTTATCTGATAGCGCTGCAAGAAGCTCTCATGAGAGCATTGTTTCTGTCTAACAGTAAAAATGATGAATATGGCTGTTTTCTTCTAAGAAAAGACTAGGTCTTATGACTGAAAGGGTGGAATCTCTCCTATAGGCAGATTTTGCACTGCATTACTGTGGATGGACTGGAGCCTGTTTCATGCTGCACCATCTGGAGTTCCCACCATCTAAACAGATGTCAGATCATTTATACTATTCTTTCCTTACAGTGTTAGCTGTAACATATTTTATCTGACACCTTAGGCAGTCTGAGTGCCTTTCTTACTGGGATCATAACAGACTGGCACCTCCTGGTGCAAGACATCAGTACAAGGCAGAATCACTGTACAGCCCTCTCTGCAGGAAGAGGACTTTTCATATGAGTGTTTATTGATGAGCCTAAAACATATCTCAATTTTAACAGATCCTGTTGTATCAAATCTAGAAGCAGCAAACTTAGGAGAGGTTACTACCTTAGGAAACCAGGAAAGAATTGACAAGCAGTTGAACGGAGAAGGTTGAAAACCCTGATGATCCTTATGGTTCCCTTCCAACTCTGGATATTCTACAGATTATAGGGAAAAAGATCAGGCTGGGTCGAAACACCTATATATAGGATGAAAAGGAGATGTAGAAATTTAGTGTTCCTTCAAATACATGAACTATTATTGTCCAGTCTCAGAGTGACTCCTTTATTTGTGGTTTTACACGTCAAGAAAGAATTATTAATGGTTAATAATAATGGTGGCTAACAGACAGAAAGAGACTCAGCTTTTTGCTAAAGTTGATGACCAAAAATCAGAAAAAAAATCCTTAGAAATATCAGATTACTTGAAGATCCATTGGCAAGGAAATAGGAAGTTTTTGATGCACTCAAGACACCCTCAGTGTATCTTGGACTCCTGTGAAGAGCTCTGCATCTGAAGACACTAAGGACTAGAAACTTGCAATGCAGTTAGCTTCAGGACATGAAGTGAATTTTATTTACAGCAAATAGTAGCATGGAGGGGTAAAGAGTGGGAAAAAATTATCACTATATTTTCTGATAATCATGAATGATGGGGGAAATTTAGCTTGAACAGAATCTGGGATCTGTGCACACTAAAGTGCTGGGGTGACTCATGGGATGAGTCCACTCCATCTGCTTACAACAGTTTGTAAAACTGAAGAAATTGACTGGCAAAGATCATCAAAGATTTGAAGATGACAAATTTGTATGAAACCAACCTATATGATAAAAGAACTGGAGATCTGGTTACAGAGGCTTTTGCCTATGTTTGATGGCTACATATACAGTGTCCTACAGCAGCCATCTTTAAGTCTCAGATAGGATCTGCACCTGAGGAACACCAAATTGGGCACTCACAGCTTAGCATGAAAAGCAAGGTGAGAGATGTGAAAATCATCTGCAATATGGCCTGTCTCACCATTGAGAACAAGAAACAAACAGCTAGGAGGGTAACTGCGCTGATAGAGGTATGACTCATGTGGTTCAGCACAGCTCAGGAATGATTATCAGTGATCTGACTAACAATTCGTCATAGGAAAGGATCAGAACTCTTTGCCAATGAGATTACACACAGCGGTAGTGGAGCATCTTCATTGTTAGACACTGGCTTGTGTTTCAAGAGGTAGAATATCCTGAGTTGGAAGGGACCCATAAGGATGACTTTTTGAATTCAGTGTGTCTGGAGGTGTTAAGAATAGGATATCAATTTTTGCCTGATTTACCTCTGCAGAAAAGAATCACAGAATCACAAAATGGCCCAAGTTGGAAGAGATCTCAAGGATCATGAATCTCCAACTTCCCCCACACCACATGCAGGGCCACCAACTTCACATTTAATACTAGACCAGGCTGCCCAGGGCCCCATCCAATCTGTACTTGAACATCTCCAGGGACAGGGCATCCACAACCTCTCTGGGCAGCCTGTTCCAGCACCTCACCACTCATAGTAAAAAGCTTCCCCCTAAAATCCAACCTAAATCTTCCCTCCTTCAATTTAAAACTATTTCCCCTTGTCCTACTGTTATGTACTCTTTCAAAGAGTTGTCTCCCCTCCTGTTTATAGGCTCCCATTAGGTAGTGAAAGGCTGCAATGAGGTCACCCCACAGCCTTCTTCTCTCCAGGCTGAACAAACCCAGCTCCCTCAGCCTGTCAAAAGAACACATGAAGAAGGAGCATAGAGCTCCATTAGGGAAAATGTCTGCCTCTGAGATCATTGGATCTGCCATCCTTTTTGTTTTACTTCACTGGATTATTTTAGGACACCAGGAACCTATGTTTCCCTCTAACTAGATCTCTGTAGCTTAGTGCCCTGTCTGTCCTAAAATTTCAGGAGGGGAGAACAGTCGATGTATTCCTGACAGAAAGTCTGAACTGATGCTGAAAAGACAATAACAATGGGAATATCCAGCACTCAGAATAGATGTGAAGAGAAAAGCAGAGGGAAAACCTTCCTACAATACTCTTTCTACTGTTTCTTTACCTATTTAGCTTATCTGTTATGGATCCAAAAGATTATTGGTACAGAAAATTAGAGCCTGTTCTTTTGCAGTATGTAAATTCCCTAGAAATGAGGAGGGTCAGTAAAAAAAAAGATCTCAGTGGCTGGAGGAATATGGGAGAAAATTTAGAAATAATCTGGTAAATTCCACATATCCTAAATATTTTTGTTGCATTGGTCACACAGAGAAATTTGCAGCAAAGAAAGAGATACCACCTGAACCTCAATTAGCACATATCTGCCCCATGGGTAGGCTAGCTAAAGCAGGGACCTGTGACCACTGGTAATACAGATGCACATTTGAAAGGTGGCTCTGAGGCTGCATTTAAGGCCTGAGAGTGTATACTACTTAAAAATATCATATAAAGGGATGGACATGCGTATTACTAGGGGTTAAAGTGGTAAATACTTATCAAAGCTGTCTGGAAGGAAGGAGTTGCAAGGCTCAACACGAATAGTAGAAATAAGTATGAACATTTTAAAATTCTGTGTGGTGGTTTTGTGCTGGCACACTGTCTTTTAAACTACAACCTGCCTGAATATGCTGGTGTTAGTACTTTTGCTATCACTTTAAACCAATCAATTCTTGTTCATGAGTATTAGAATATCCTTCAGGAAATAAGCTGCTTAATTTTCCTTCAGGATACAGTGCCATATTTCACAAGGCTGCAAGACTGGGTATGTATGTAAGTTGCTCTGAAAGTAATGCCTTCTATTTATTTCCATGCAAGTGACAAGATATATAAATAAAACAGTAAAACTATTTGGTAGAACAAATTCCCAGCCACAAAAAATTATTTTTCAACACTGTCATCACCACTAGCTGTGCATTTTCACCATCAATGTACAAGAGCCTGCATACCATGATTGTAAAAGTCTGTATCAGTGGATGCACTAACCCGCTGTCGCTGTTGCTAATGCTGGAACACACCATCCACCACTTCACTGTGTTCACATCCCCTGTTTTGTCTCCATAAATGTCCAGCAAGCATTGATGAATGTCAATGGATGCAATTTTTTTCTGCATGAAGGAGTTTAATGACACATCTTTGCTTCATATGCACTCTCATGCCAGATGCCAGTTTGTCAGACTGCTTCTCTGCTGCCATCTGTCACATGGCAAAAAAGTGTATCAGAATATTAGTGGAAGTTCAGCCTCTACTGCCATACCACCAACATCTACTTCTGATGTCATGGACCAACAGGGTATTATTTCTTTTTCATTCCTTTTCTTGAATCTTGAATCTTTCACAAGAGAAGTTCCTAGAAAACAGAAGAGTGCAGCATCTGGCTACAGCAGAGAGTTCAGAATGGTCAAAAATTCAGCTTTCTTTTTTGAAGGAGTTATAGTGGCTATCAGAACAAATAAAAATCCTGAAGAATCATGAAAGTGTGGTCACCTTGTGCACAGCAACAGCAAGCTAGACAAAACTTGCCTCGTGGTACCGGAGCCAGCAACAGCTTGCAGGTCTGTGAGATGAGTTCTGGAGATGGATGCCAGCAACAAGATTGCCTTCTGAAAATAAAAAAGGGGCATCAAAAAGGGCATAATATATTAGAAAACCACCTGAAGTCTTAAGCATAATTGGGTTCATTTTGAGAATCTAACTAAGGTATTTCACTGAATTATTTCTTCTGCTATAGCTGTGAGAAAAACAAGAAGAATGACTCAATGCTCCAGCATCTTATATGTGTCTTAGTCATTGTCAATCACAAAAAAGTTACAGTCTGGTTCTCATGTTGAATTGAAACACTTCCTGAGAGAATGGGCACACTTGATGCAATGCTGAGTCACTCTCAGCTGCTTACCATTATTAGGTATTCAGCATTGCTAAATTGATACAATTAATTCTCCTGAAGTCCCATAAAAGCGTCTTTATCCTCCTGAGAGTACTATTTCTTTTCATTTTATTAGGGTAGTCAGAGTGCTGCTGAAACAAAGACAAGCCAGCTTTTTCTTTGGTTTTATATTTGAGACTCAGAGGTTTTTTTTTTCCACTCTCACTTTGGTTGGTTTATTTGTAAATCACTGCATCTTTCAGATTGTGAATCTGTAGAACATCATGCTCATAGATATAAAGTAAAGGGAAAAAACTCACATCAGCCATCATCTCCTGAGAAATTCACAGAAAAATAATCACTGGAGAAGCTGACCTACATAAACCAGAGGGTCCCTTAAACAAAAGCAGAGTTGGAATACTTGCAGTGTTGAACCAAGGTAGATATTACTGTTGAAGACAGGGCACATTGAAATAGCCCAGAAGGTTTTCTATTTAGCATTTTGCTTTTCCGTTCAGTAGACCAAAAACAAGCGTTCAGAATTTTCTATCTCCTATCCCCAGGTTGCACACAACTAATGTTTCTTTTTCTTTTCTTCTTTTTCTTTTTTTTTAATACACGCTCCTCATAATTTTTGGATATGTATGGTTTAGAGACATAAAAGGACAGCTTGACAAAAGCTGTATCTGAAGATAACTCCTAACCCATCCCTCAAAAGAAAAGCACAGTCACTGTGGGTGTTCTCCCCAGCCAGGGAAGCTGCATGAGCCTTGATGCTGGAGTTCAAGACACTGTGACTCCGTCTGATAACAGCAGAAAGCAAATTTCAGAAAGGAACACTGTGGCTGGCCTCTTAGATCTGCTCTAGCTTATCTCAGCTGCCAGTCTAATTTACTGGGAGAAACTGATTTCAGGGGAGGCAGGTCCCAAAATGGGGCTGGCCTTATTGGCTAAGTCATCAGATAGTGGGCATATGTGAGTAGCACAATGTGGGAATTGCAGCTGATGAAGGTCCACCTGAGGAGGTTTATTGAGGGAACAAGTATTATATTTTGCACTTCCTGAACAACCTTTCCAGAAAGTGCAATACTTTCTTTCAAACTGAAGGGGAACAACTTCCCTCCTCCCTGAAAAAAACAACTCCTATTTAACCATGGAAAACTACTGCACAATCTTTACTTACCAGGGCAGAAAATCTGCGCTCTCTCCTGGTGCATTTCACAGGAACAAACAAAAAGCAGGGCCCCGTATTTTAGAAGCTTCTAACAACAATAAATGCAGAGGTTTCCCAGATTTTATGTTCCCTAACAGAGAGCTTTCAAAATATTCCCAAAAGAGAAAGGAACATTACCTGTGTTAACTTCAAAAGCTTCTCTTCTCTTGAAATGTCACCTTCCCTTCCTCTCTCAGTTCATTCACTTTCTTCAGTTCACTTCCTTGACCTTCATTTCTGTATCTCGAGACCTGCGAATTTCCAATTCCAGGTTGACAGAAAGATTCAAGCTATGACACTATGACTGATAACAGGGAATCAAGTTTTTCTTATGGCTGACGTAGAGTCTGTTTTTAAGAGTCACTGCCTGTGTAGAAGCTTGAGTCAATGCAGACAGAAAGCATCAGTGGTTCCAAGAAATGGGGTAATGTGTTTTGGAAACGGGATCCCAGAGGAATGGTGGATTTCTCGTCTGTAGATTGCAACTGTCTGTTTAGAACAACAAAAAAGGAAACAGCATCACAGCACCAATCATTTTGACTGGGGCTTCTCCTCCACACCCTTTTTTCTGTCTAATGCTGTGCCAAGATCACAGCCTAAATATTATCACAATCCTTGTTTATGTGGGACTTTCCCCGTTTGAGGTCACAGATTGCAAGGCCTTGATAACTTCTTGTGATTATGTTTGGAAGATAAACAGGACTGAGATCTGAATATAATCTGAAATGAAAAGAGCCTCAGAATCATCACTTTCCCAGTGTAAAATTCAGGTCATTTATTAGTGTTCTCTACTTATTTTATTAGAAAAAAATGTATGTAGTTTAGAAAGTTGTTTTTTATAGCAAACTAGAAACCAGAAGCATTTTAATACTTTAATAAGAGATCTGCTTTTAGCATATAAAAGTTAAGTTAATTAAGCCATTGGAACATTCTAATTTTTTTCCACTTTAGAAATGGATTTAAAACTCAGTAAATATGAAACTGCAGTTCTCTTAGATGAGGTCTGTAAACTTTTAGAGATATCTGTGCCTTAAATCTGATCTTTCGCTTTCTTGTTCTCAGCTCTCTGTGGGACTTTTGGTCATTTTCCCTCCTTAGGAAGGCTGCTGCTTTTGTAGCATATTGCAATAAATTTGTGAAATGGATATACATGCAGTAGTGACTGAAGGGAGAATTTCAGCAGTTATGTATGTGGCCCATGTTTGCTTTAGGCAGAAGGGTTGAAAACCTCTCACAGAGCCACGGTTGTAGTAGATGTCCATGTAAAATCTACATAAAAACCCAGCAAACCCCACTGTGATTCCAAGTTTCAATTCAAGTTGGATCCTCAGCTAGTGGATCTTCATTTATGGAAAAAAAAAAAAAAAAACCTTTAATATTCCTTGATTTATTTATTTTTTTAATTAATTAAAACAATTGCCATACAAACTTCTACTTTCCAGAACCTCATTTTATATATTAAATAACAATTGGGAGTTCAGCTGTAACAATGTTCTTACATCCGAAACAAGCACTTTATTATCATTGTATAGGAGGTAATATTTCCCTCGTTCCCTTACTAGAAGTTCTGCATACAAGAAATATTAACTTGCATAATTAGAGACACCCTGAGAAAAAGGTCAGTAGATATTTTTGCCAGTACCACATTAGAGGAAGACACTGTTGGTATTTTACTGCCAAAACTTCACATTAGCAAAAGAAAAAAAAGCAATTTTCACAACTAATTGCTAGACTGTTGAAGGACTTTGTTCTATATCTGTGTTGACACCCTGAGGGTAATCAAAGCGACTCACTTTATATCTGAAAGCCTAAAGGGTTCTTATGAGACTTATATTCGTTTTCTGTCCATTTGTTGAAAGAAACAGAGAAAAAAAAAAAAAAGAAAAAAGCAAAAGCAGGACATTTTAGATTGAGTACTACTTTGTTCTCTGCATCCAGGTATAGATTTTTAAGGTGGACTTGGACAGCTAGTTGCATTTTTCTAGAATCAGACAAATGAGAGAGGAGGGTTACCAATTGTATTCCTCAACTATTACAGAAAATCTGGATTTGGTGTTATGCTCTGCCATGATCTCAAATCAGGATCCTAGAATGGTTTTTTCAGAGAATTAAGGATCATCCAGACCGTTTGCTTTTACAAATGCAAATATCTTGATCTCATTTGTTCAAACATAAATACACAGTAAGGTACTCCTGATATATTCTACTCGCTTTTTATGTAAGCGCTGTAGATAAGCAAAATGAAATTACTTTGTGGACTGAGACTTTCTAGTAACTAGAAAAGAACGTGGGGCCCTATATGCTTTTATCATTTTGCCAAGTCTGCGTGAAGGACAGGCAGAATTGCAGGCTCTGAGCTAAATGTGGAACAGGAATTGTTCTCTATCTATTACCTCAAAAGGGGTAGAGGAGAATAGAGAGCAGCAGGATGAGGCCTTAGCCCATTTTCTTGGCTTCCTACAGAATGATAAATGTACTGCATTATTTCCATACAGAGCTTGTGCTCCCTCTCTACTAAACAGAAAGAGGAAATTCCTTCTGGAATGGCAAGGTGTCTGCTGCTCCACTGAAGGTCCATGCCTACAAGATGCAATTTAGCCCTTAGATTACCACTGAAAAGGAGCCTATTATGTCAATATCTGAGTTGTGTAAGTTTTTTCTGCATGTATATGAATTGCATTTATATGCAGTAAATATAGCATACACATATCATTATATATTTATACCACTGTGGGTTGGATCTGCAAAAGGCAACGATTTTCTTTTTACTATACTAGACATGTCAATTTGCAATGTGATACCTCTGAAGTTTCATTCTGTCAGTTATCTATAGGTGTCTATGCTTTTTCTTGCTGATTTCTTAGACACTGTGGGCCCTCAGGGACACTGCACGCACCAAGGCAATCTGACCTAGCTGCAGCATGCAAGATGTAGTAGTCATTTTACAACCAATGAATTTGTCATTAGTGACTGAAGTAATTGTGAAGATCGTCCTTTTTCTCTCTCCAATTTACCACCCTGAGGGCTGCAATTTCTTATAATAACATTGCCACACTGCTTTGGATAGCCAGATCTTCACTAGAGTGACCTGTGTGGAGGCTGTTAACAGGAGCAATATGACTTGAGACCCATGTCATGCTCTCCAATTGTTTGCATGTGCACCTATACCCCTGGTTTACAATACTGCTACACTTTCAGCTTTTCCTCAGGCTCATGCATTCACCAGATCTGCAGTGCATTGCATCGTTTAGTTTTGCTTTTACTAAACAGAACCTAATAATCAGAATGAAGTCAGTATGTCAAAATTCACCTAAAATTAAGAATGGTTCTCTTTTATCATGCTGAAATGTTTCAGTAAAACAATGCCTTTCTGGCATTTTTGGAAATCATCTAGAGGCATCACTAGCATGACATATCCTTTACTGTTGTGTCAGACCTGCAAGCTGTTGTATAAGTTAAAAGCCTTTTTGGCCCTCGATGCTTGGATATGTGATAGGGAGCTTTAACATGCCTTCATGAGAAAGGAAGACACCGTGGCACTGTTTTATTTTGTTTGCCCTCTTACACATTTCCAGAGTCTAACAAGTGAAAAGCCATGCAGTCTTCAGGCTGTTTCTTCTGCTTGTACATGGTCGCTTTGCAAGCTCAGTAAAATGACTTCAAGTATTTCTCAGCAATCAACACTCATTCCTAACACATCTGCTTGGATTCCACTTTAATGCTTCTTTGCTTAATGCGTGTTTAACAGTATTTGAGAGATTTAAGTGTCAGCTAGACTCATAATCTAGCATGCCTGAAGTATTGACTCAATAATCTGAAACTCCAGAAAAAGTCAACAGTGAAATAAAATTAATCTAGATGTATTTAGATATGATAAATACACTGTGATTAACTGTATCTGTCAGTATTTGTATGTCATTTTATGCATTAAGTTTTCTGGTGGCCCTTTAAAAAAAAATCACATTGTAATGAAAGAAAATGTCTTGAGTAGTTAAAAGTGTTAATTTTACCAGACTTAATAGATTTAAATCCATGCTTGAAGACTGAAACAATAGCCTAGAGAATATACTGTTACTGGAAGGTTAAGAAGAACATGCATCCTATAACATTATAAACATATGTATATTGCCAGAATATTAGAATGACGTGTTCATCTTTTTAATCTAAAAACTTTGATTTTTCTGGTGTTGGAAATTTCAGTAAATTCTAACAATGAAGAAACACATCAACATGAAAAAACTGTACACACCCACTGCCACAATAGTTCTTGTCCAAAATGAGATACCCTTGTCTTTTTGAAGGTTATAATGAGTTCACAAGGCAAATGAATTACAGGAAGAACATGTCTTCTGAGACAACTTGTGCAACTTCAGTCTAAACCCTGGGGATAAAGTAGTTCTAATTCCAAAAGCACACCACACTTTGCGTTTTATAACAGTTCTGAGATAACATTTTCTGCTAATATGTATAATCTGATGGGCTTATCTTGCAATTTTAGCTGTCTCAGAAGAGTTTATGGTCAATGAAATCAGCAATCTATAATCACTGGTGTGTTAATGTGGCCACTCTCTGGGCCACTGATGGTACTTTGAACCATCCTACCTCTAAAGATAGCAAACTGAGAGCAGGCAAATGTGTATCTGTACATACAGAAGCATCTGGCGTTATGTGAAGGCCATAAAGGATTTGTAATTTTATCAGAGCTGTAACCTACTTCTCAAAAGGGTATAAGCATGTTGAATCGCTATTAGCTGTTGGGGCAGATGGAGTTGCTGCAATTCAATGTACTGCAAGCCTTGATAACCATCTTATGGGTTCATGAGTTTTGTTTTTATGCAAGCTAATGAGCTTTTCCCTCTCTAGTGCATTAAGACTTCCTTCCTTCCTTCCTTCCTTCCTTCCTTCCTTCCTTCCTTCCTTCCTTCCTTCCTTCCTTCCTTCCTTCCTTCCTTCCTTCCTTCCTTCCTTCCTTCCTTCCTTCCTTCCT